ACCAGGACCTACGTGTGAAAAGAAGCTTTGTTCTACATAGCCAGTTGGAGCCTTAAAAAGACTCATTCAAACTAAGTGACTTTCCTGATTGCTTCTATTTATTTCATTTGGAGTTAGGGACTGATGGTCTAACAGGGCATATGCTAAGCAAGCACCTCACTGCTGGATCGAGGCCAAGGTTTGCCACTTTAAAAAGCTGCAGTTGAATTAGAGACAAGCAAGGAGGGTTTTACAATGTGGCCCAAATCATAAGAGTCTAGAGTAATCTGGAACTCCAATTGCTGATTCCCTTTACAGATGCAAACTGGGGGTGAAGAGGGGTTTGAAAAGAAGGTTAAAAGCACTTATTGTTCTAGAGGACCAGGGTTCAGTTCCCAGCATCCACATGGTGAGTCACAACCATCTGTAACTCCAGTTCCAGGGGACCTGAGGGCACCAGGCACACATGTGATTCACAGACATACATGTAGGCAAAACACTCATATACACAAAATAAAACAAATAAATCTAAAAAAATTTATCTTTAAAACTGTGGGTAACGGGTTACTGTTAAAGTTTGTATAAAAAGCATGAGAAATTTGGCTGTGCAGAGGTGGCTTACACCTTTAATCCCAGCGTTTGGGAGACAGAGGCAGGTGAATCTCTGAGTTCAAGGCCAGCCTGGACTACAGAGAGAGTTCCAAGGTAGCCAGGGCTCTTAATACAGATTCTCTGTATTAAGAGAGATGTGTAAATGTTGTGTTTAGCAATGGGTCCTTACCATCAGTTTGTGGAAAGCGCCTTGACAATAACCCATGTTGTTTGGGGTTTCCATGGGGCCCGTTTAGCCAACAAGTCGGTTAGATGCCATTGCTCCTGGTGCTGAAGGCTTCATTTGATGGTAAAAGCTGTCTGATTGGGGCTTTGTCTTCCTACTGTTTGGTGACTGCATCTAGAATTCTTTCCTATATGTATATATTTCAGAAACGTCTGCTGTAGTTGGGCCCATATGACCACTCAAGTGACCCTGGGGTTAGTTGACCCTCTCTATAGGTCTCCCTTTCTCCTATTCCGTTTAATCCTCCTGTTCCTGTCTCCCCCACCCCCGAGTCTCTCTCTTACTATATATTCTATTTCCCCTTCCTTGGGAAATCCTTCCAAGAAGATCCTCCCCTCCCATCTAGTTCCTTGCTCTATGCCTAACCTCTGTGGTTGTCCTGGTAAACCTATTGAAGGCTTAAAAGCTACCACCCCCCTATCAGAGAACACATACCATGTTGTCTTTTTTGGGTCTGGGTTACCTCACTCAGCATGATTTTTTTCTAGTTCTTTCCATTTACCTGTAAATTCCATATTTTTAACAGTTGAATAATATTTCATTGTGTAAATGTATCACATGTTCATTATCCATTTATCTGTTGGTAGACATCTAAGCTGTTTCTAATTTTTGGCTATTGTGAGTAGAGCAGTATCTATGAACATGGATGAGCAAGTGTCTCTGCAGAGGAATGTAGAGTCCTTTGGGTACATGCCTGAGAGTGGTATACTGATTTCTGTATTTATATCAGTGTCACACTAATTTCTATAGTTACAAGTTTGCACTCCCACCAGTAATGGATGAGTGTCAGGATGATTAAGTGATGCTAGGTGTTAATGTTTATCTTTGTTGGGTGGGTTTCTTTTTTTTTTAATGTTTGTTTTTGAGACAGTAGCCCTGGCTGTCCTGGAACTCACTCTGTAGACCAAGCTGGCCTTAAATTCACAGAGATCCACCTGCCTCTCCCTCCAAGTGCTGGGATTAATGGCATGTACTACTTGGCCTGGCTCTTCCATTATTATTATTAATTATGTGTGCAAGAGTATCTGTGTGTTGATCTATGCATATGGGTGGAGAGGACAGAGGTGCTGGATCCCTGGAGCTACAAGCAGTTGTGAGCCCCCTGATATGAGTGCTGGGACCTGAGCTTGGCTCCTCTGCAGGAGCAGTAAGTGTTCTTAACTGTTGAGGCATCCCTACAGCCCAGACTCTGATATGAACATGGGATTTCCACCTCATACTGCCTCAGGGATTGGGCAAGTAGCTCAGTGATAAAGCGAATACACAGGCCATCAAGGAAAGAAGGAGAAAAGCTGCTTCACCTAGAGCACCGTGCTAGGTAGGTTTATGTCAACTTGACACAAGCTAGATATATCTGAGAAGGAACTTCAACTGAGAAATTCCTCCATAAGATTCAGCTGTAGGTTATTTTCTCAATTAGCAATTCATAGGGGAAGGTCCAGCCCATCATGGATGGTGCCATCCTTAGGTTGGTGGTCCTGGGTTCTATTAGGAAGCAGGCTGAACAAGCCATGATGAGCAAACCAGCCAGTAGCACCCTTCCATGACCTCTGCATCAGCTCCTGCCTCCAGGTTCCTGCCCTGTTTGCATTCCTGTCCTGACTTTTTTGATGATGTACTGTGATGTGGAAGTGTAAGCCAAATAAATCTTTTCCTCCTCAACTTGCTTTTTGGTCAAGTTTCAACACAGCAGTAATAACTCTGACTAAGACAAGCTCATACCTTTATTCCAGTCAGTAATAAGAAAATAAGTGGAAGACACATCCTTTTTAAGTGTATACCATGGAGCTAGAGAGATGGCTTGGTGGTTAAGAGCATTAACTGCTCATCTAGAGGATCAGGGTTCAATTCCCAGCACCCATGTGGCAGCTCACAACTGTCTATAACTCCATTTCCAGGGAATCTGGAACACCAATGCACATAAAATAAAATTTATGAAGTCAGGCATAATGGTGCATACTTTTAATCTCAGCACTTGGGAGGTGGAGGCAGAGACAAGCGGATCTCTGTGATCTTTTGCTTTGAGGTCAGCCTGGCCTATAGAGTGAATTCCAGAACAGCTAGAGCTCATGGTAAGATTCTGTCTCAAAAACAAACAAAATAACAACACCCCCTCCTCTGCAAAGAGTACTTTTTGGGAATTAGATAGACATCATTTCTGTTCATAAGAGGTCAAGATTTAATTACCTGGCCATTCTTGCCAGCTGGAGGGAGACTAGAGAATGTAAGATATGCAAGTCAGGGGATCTGCTAGCAAAAGAGGAGAGGAAAATAGGTTTTAAGGGACAAATGACAGTGTCTGCCACACAAGAATGTTGCTACTGGGTCAGGCCCTGCACCAACCATCATTGCCTTACTTGATTGGCTAAAAATACATTATGAGTTTGGCAGGATTAAAATGGAATGTAGATGCAAAAAACCTCTGAGACTCAATCCAAGTCACTCAATTTGGATTTGAAACCACTCCCCAAAAAGCTCCATGGCAGGAACAAAAGGGATCGACTGATGGGAGAAGTCATTCTGTATATGTTTCTCATACTGGTTAATAAATAAAGCACTGTTGGCCAATAGGAAAGGAAGATAGGAGGGACTAGGAGACAAGGAGGAAAGAGGAAAAAGGAAGGAGGGGTCGACATGGAGAGTCTGGAGAGACTAGAACCACCAGCCGCCTCTCGCTGATAAGAGCACGTGGAAATACATAGAAATTAACACAGAGCTAGCCGATAAGAAACTAGTAACTGGCCAACAAAATTATATCAAATACAGAGTCTCAGTGTGTTAATTGGGGCTGGTGCGACAGCAAAACCAAACCAGCGGCGGGAGGAAAAACCCCTACTCCTTACAATCGGCACTCAGTGACTGCCTTCATGGAAACAGTTCTCATGGGTGTCTCATGAGTTATGTGGCTGGGATATTTTTGTCTCGTTCTATAGTTATAGCTCACCAGAATGAAATCAGAAGGCTTAAGCCCTTATTTACATGTTTCTGCCACTGGTGGATACAGGATGATTTTTCCATGCAGCCTGTAGGTCCACCTGCAGAGACCCCCAGCTCCAACCATCACTCACAGGGCAAGTCATGTTTTCTTACCTTTGCAATGGGATTTTAGGTTTGCTGTGAAATGAAGTGGTCCATGTTAGCATCTGGCATGTGTGAGTGGTCAGCATACATACTATCTATGTCAAATGAACATGTTTTACGTTGTATTTCAGAAACGAGTTTTCAGAATCACCAACTTAAAGCCAGCCATAGTGACCTAGACCCAGAATCTCAGACATGGGAGGTGGTTAGGAGAATCAGGAATTTAAGGCCATTTTTGGCAGCATAAGTTCAAGCGCAGCCTAGGCCACATGAGACTGCTTGTAGCTCCAGAGGATCTGACACCTGGCTCCTGTGGTCCCTGAGCTCATGGACACATACCCCCACTCGGAAACATTCCGAAACAAAACCGGCTGACTAAAAAGCAAACAAACAAAGACCAAATTTATTTTCTCCAGCAATTCTGTAACGAGTCTTGTGTAACGTGTAAAAGTGAAGCCACTCACATGCTGGTGAAATAGGAAAATAAAGCTAGTGGGGTGTTGGATAAGACCTCGGAACCTTGGACTCAAGTACAACTAGATGAGTAATCTAAATCCAGCCACTACCACTGCCTTACAAATTCTATTTCCTACATCAAATAAGTAAAATAGGCATGGTGGGGACCCACAAAATGACTCAGAGAGCAGGGCATTGGCTTCCAAGCCTGACAAACTGAGTTTCATCTCTGTATCCCCATATGGAGGAAGAAGAGAATGGACGCCCACAAATTGTCCTGTGAACTCTACATGTGCACGCCTCCTCACCCCCAATTTCCATTATTTTTAATGTTTAAAAATGAAAAATTGGCATAGCGGAAGGTCAAAGATAAGCCCTAGAAGGGATAATTCTCTTATAATTAAAAAGGAGCTGGGCATGATGGTACATGTGTATAATCCCAGCCTCCCACGAAGGAGGTTGACAGCAGAACTGCTTTGAGTTCGAGGCCTGCCTGTACCACGTAGTGAGCCAAGCATATCCGTACGTGTAAGTATGAATCCTTGCAAAGCTGGCGAAAGGCGAGAATACAAGGCGGAACGAAAGTGCACGGTACTCCTGGGACTCGGAACCTACGGCTTGTGGCAAACTGCGCTGGGGGCCTGCGCATGCGCCGGGCGGGCGGCGCTCTGCGTGCCGAATGTCCGGGCTGCGGACGCTGCTGGGTTTCGGGTTGCTGGTTGCAGGCTCGCGCCTGCCCCGGATCGCAAGCCGGCAGAGTGTATGCCGTGCAAGGCCTGCCCGGTGGGGGACGCAGCTCCGGGGCTCGGAGACCATGGCGAGCGCCGCGGTGAAGTACCTGAGGTACGGCCGCGCTCTCCCACGGGGGCGGGGCGGGGCAGGCCGCGCCCCCAGCACCCAGGCGGCGGACTCAGGCCAGGACTTCCCCCAGTCAGGAGGAGGCGCGGGCTGTGGACGAGGAGCTATTTAACGAATACCAGTTCAGCGTGGATCAACTCATGGAGCTGGCAGGCCTGAGCTGTGCCACGGCCATTGCCAAGGTAGGTGTCACAGTGCAAAGCCTTCGAGAAGAACGGGTCGGGAGGCCTCCCGCGGTGGAGCAGAGGGCAGTGACTGCCGGGTCCTTTGCGCCTCTGCCTTCAGGCTTATCCTCCCACGTCCATGTCCAAGAGTACCCCGACCGTCTTGGTCATCTGTGGCCCCGGGAATAACGGAGGGGACGGCCTGGTTTGCGCACGACACCTCAAACTTTTTGTGAGTATATGAACCTAGTCTTTGTGGAAAGGTATAAGGAGTTTGGGATCCGAGATTGAACTGCTACTTTCCTTTTCATCTAGGGTTACCAGCCAACTATCTATTACCCCAAAAGACCTAACAAGCCACTCTTCACTGGGCTAGTGACTCAGTGTCAGAAAATGGACATTCCTTTCCTGAGTGAAATGCCCCCAGAGGTAGGTGGCTTGATATATCTCATCTCCCCAGTAAGTACTGCCTCTGCCCTTCCCTTCATGTTTTCAGACCAAGCTGGCCTGCGAGTTGCTCTCTAATAGCACTGGGGCAGGAGCCGCTCCATACTGTGTGTTCCCAACACTAGCAGCTCTAGGCAGCCCCATTCTGTAGTTAGCTGTTTCCTCTAGCTTGCAGTTAACACTCATCTGGCTTCATTCTAATCCTTTTATGTAAATGCATGGATTTAGGGGTGGGAAATCTGAAATGCAAAGAATTAACTTATTCTGTAGATGAAGATACTGACATGCAGAGAAATGGTTTGCCCAAAATCACAAAATTGGAGAAAGACAGACTAAGAAGAATTGCTTCCTTCTGGCTCCCAGTCTCAGACTCCCCTACAATCAGCCGCTTCCTCCCCACTGGCAGGCAGAACAGAAAATATGTCTGGATTCGGAATGGCCTTACTCTCTGCACTTTAGGAAACAATTCTATCTGTGTCTCTGTGGTCTGTGGTGCAGGGACAGCCCTCCCTCTGTGACAACTGTTCCTGACATTCTTCCTGCTCCTCCACAGCCCATGATGGTTGATGAGCTGTATGAGCTGGTGGTGGATGCCATCTTTGGCTTCAGCTTCAAGGGTGATGTTCGGGAGCCATTCCACAGCATCCTGAGTGTCTTGAGTGGACTTACTGTGCCCATTGCTAGCATCGACATTCCCTCAGGTGCTGGGACCCAGATGGTTGGGGGACTGGTGCTCCACCCTGTCTACAGCCTGGTACCAAGGGGACTGGATTCTTGATCCACAATATAGTCAGGTCTAAAATAATCTGAATGTACCTTTCCATGTCCCATATTGGGGCTCATGTTGGCCCTGAGTGTTCCTCAAGTAGGGACTGGGGAATCTCTCTCTTTAGGACTAGGCCTTCCGTACTTCCTCACAACTACCTTCTCTCTTCAGGATGGGATGTAGAGAAGGGAAACCCTGGAGGAATCCAACCAGACTTACTCATCTCATTGACGGCACCCAAGAAGTCTGCAGCACATTTTACTGGCCGGTATCATTACCTGGGGGGTCGTTTTGTACCACCTGCTCTAGAAAAGAAGTACCAGCTGAACCTGCCATCCTACCCTGAGACAGAGTGTGTCTACCGTCTACAGTAAGGGAGGTGGGTGGGTGACTTTCTAATAAAGACTTGGTACCTCCTCTCTTCAAACTGGAGTCTTCTGACTTTAATAATTGTCAGTAGGTTATACTTTCTTTGGGGAAACAGACCAGGCATTTGTAAGCAATGGAAAACAACTCCATTGCTACATCAGATGTGATAGCCTTTACCCAGGAATGATTACTTATTTGTGATTCACAGGGAGGTAGATGACACCTCTAAGCTCAGCTTAGCATTGTAGCAAGACCCCAAAATGTTATCAGAAAGGTCTCCAAGGGCTGCCTGATTTGTTTTCAGACCTTCTCATGCTAGGAATGATGGTGTTAACTGGGAAAGACCTAGGCTTGGGGCCCAAGCTCTCATTTAAGCATGATTAGAAACAGGCAGTCTGGAAGGCTAACCCAGTCCATACATCTAAATGTTTTTCTTAATCTTCACAGTATTTAAAAATGAAGACAGTCTGCAGGGTACGGAGTACAGGCCTTTGATCCCAGCACTCTTAAGGTAGAGGCAGGTGGATCTCAGTGAGTTCTAGGAAAGCAAGAGCTATGTTAGAGAACTCCTGTCTCAAAAAACCAACCAAACAAAAAGTCTTTCACATAAGTCTACATTTAGACTTTTAGCAGAGACTCCTTCAAATATAGACTCCCTATCCTGATTCCTGTCCCCCCCATCCTTTAGCTGGTGAGCTGCTAGACACCAAGGTCTATACTTTCCGGACAAAAAGTTGTATGGGAGACATCCATCCCTCAGCTAGCATTGACTGCTTTGGCTGTCTTCAGCAGACTGGTGCTCCCGGGTTGTCTGCAGAGGGTGTGAAGAAACCCTGTGCAAACCCAGGCCACCCTGTAAGGAGCCAGCAGAGCTATACTGTAGGCCTTTAGTCCCTCTTCCGCTTCTTGTCTTTGGCTGGCTTGTTGATGCCAGCTCTCTCCTTTGGGTGTGGCTGACTTCTCTCACCTTCCTTCTCTACTTCCCAAGTCCTGCCATCATCATCTTCATTGCTCACACCCAAAGCCACCTCCTCACAACACTGCTGTCTTTTCTTCTTGCCTCTTCTGACCTTTCTCTCTCCTTTTGTTAGGCTATTCTTCCCTTCTTCATCTTGGGTGTCCAGGTCACTCCCACACTGCTGAGGCTTCTTGCTGCTTCTCCGTGGGTCTGTCTCTGCTGCACTGTCCACTGCCTGTGGCCTGCCTGTCACATCTCTGCCTCTTTTATCATAGACTCCCATCTCCCCCTCTTCTTCATGGTGCCGTCTCCTCTTTTTCTTCCTTTTCCTAGAAGGCTGATCAGATTGCTCTGTGCTCAGTTCTCCAGGCCCGCTTGCTCCTTCAGCCTCCTCCTCCCCACTTCCTACAGCTGACCCCTCTCTCTCATCTTTCTGCCTCCTTTTCTTCTTCCTGCTTTTCCTGAAGCTGTGAGGGTCAGTGTGTTCTAGGAGCGCCTCATCTACATTCTTTTCTGTTGTTGCAGCCTCTTCCTCCTGTTTCTGCTTTTTCTTCTTCTTTTTTTTGTGGGAGGGTTCCCTGTCAGTCTGTGGTTGAGAGGTGCCCATATCCTTTGAGCCTTTGAGCCGAGCCAGGAAGGCCTGCTCTTGGGCCTCCAGGCGAGCAAGCTTGGCCTTCATTGTGATTCCAATCCGGGCAGCCCTAAGAGATGGGTGTAAGTCAGCAAGGGCATTACATAGAAAGTTGGGAACAGAGGGAAGGGAGCTGCCTGACTTCAAACACAAATACAATGACAGGAATTATTCCCCTGGAAGGAAAATATTTGAGAGGTGGCACAAGCTATTCTAAACCATAGGCAGAAAAGATGGGGGACCCAGAAGGTGACCACAACTTACTTGTGTGCTGTTCGCCCCTCACAAGCTTTGAGAAGCATCTCATCGGTCAGACTGTAAGGGCAGAAGATAAGTCAGATGGTGAGAAGGCTTTTTTTTTTTTTCCTCCTGTCTAAATATGTACATTTTCACTATTTCTTGTTCAATCTGACACTTTTTGAAGTACTAAGAATACAAAGATTTTAATTCTACAACCCTCCCCCCCAAGAGCCCAGTCAAGCATTAGAGTCCAGAGCATCTCCTCCCACATGCCCTCGGTATAAAACAGAGTCTCACATCTTTGGAGGCCTGGGCTCGTGGCTGTCATCAGCACTGCCGCTCTCTCTGTCAGGCTTCTCTTCACCTGAGGTTAGTGTGGCTGTCTGGAGGAAAAGGATCATGGAGATGGGTGAAGCCAGCCCAACACCATCACCAACTCTCCTCCCTTTCAGAAGTCCCTAGGAACTCACTGCCCAAGCCATGAATCTGACAGCCCTCACCACTGTTCCCATGCACAGCCACGCAGCCTGCATATTTCAGTTTGGACAGGACATGGGCCAGTTACTGAGAAGTGGAGCAGCCAGGGCTTCTCTGGCTCACAGCTGGCTGACTGAAGAACCAGCAGGGAAAAGTGTTCCCAGTTAAGTTTTCTTAGTGGAGTAGGAGCCAGTAACTGACAATAAAGAGAGCGCTCCTATTCCCAGTACTTTTGTCTAACTAGATTATCATGGGCCTCGTAGCTCAGGACAGAGTAGAATGGCAATGAAATGGTCCAAGTGGGGAGACAGCTCACCTGGTAACAACACTCCATGTGCAAGAATGAGGACTAAGTGCAGATCTCCAGCCCCACATAAACGTTGGGCAGGCATGGCTACCCACCTTCAATCCCAGCATGCAAGAGGTGGAGATGGGGTCCCTGGAGCAAGCTAGCTAGGTACTAAACTACAAACTGGCAAGTGGATTCAAGTGAGAGACCCTAATTCAGTATATAAGGTAGAGATCAAAAAAGGTACCTATGTCAACCTCTGGCCTCTATATGCAGACACATGCAAGAGCGCCTGCACACATAAGTACCCGTGTATTTGTGGAAGAATGAGATGGGTTCAGTCCAGATGTAATTACATGGGCAGTTAGGATGAATGTCGCCTGTCCCACAGATAACTCGGGCCAGGGTTTGGGGAGTGGTTCTAGAAGGTGCTATGTATAATCTGAATCTGAAAGTCAAGAAACGGTTAGCAGGTAAATGGCAAAGGCAGAACAGCTGGCAGGGAAAGGACAGATGGAAGCAGAAACAGACCTGCTTCTGCTCCAGGGAGAACAGGCGGAAGGGAGACAAGGAGCATCAAAGGCCACGGAAGCCAATCTCATTAAAAAGGGTGGATCCGGACAGTGGCGCTGCACGCCTTTCATCCCAGTGCTTGGGAGGCAGAGGCAGGCAGATCTCTTGTGAGGCCAGCCTGGTCTACAGAGTGAGTTCCAGGACAGCCAAGGCTACACAGAGAATTGTCTTGAAAAACAACGAACAAAAAGGATCATGATACACTTTGTGTTTTGGAGAGAACCCTATGGATGTTTTGTAGAACACAGTTAGCAGACTGTGGTGGAGAATGAGACCAGAGGCAGAGTATCTTAAAGAGGCAAGGACTGCCTGAACTAAAATAGTAGATGCCGACAGATGCAGAAACTGGGAAGGGTTGCTAGATAACTTGAGAACTGCTGAGCAGAGCCTATGCTCACTAACTGCTGGCTTTCTATAGCTATGGTGAAAGAAGCTGGAAAGCCCGGGTTCTATTCTTTTTGCCTTTACTATCCAGCTGTGGGTTCTTCAGCAACCCATTTTCCACCCTTTTGGTCACACGTGTAAAATAAAGATGGATGAAGTAACCCTCAGGATTCTTCTGGCTTCCAAATCTTTGAGAATTAGACACCAGCACTTCCACCCCAGCAGCTCCTGACTACATGATGGCCCTCCCTCCACTGTTCAGTGCTGCCTCCCCAGCAGATGGCAGGGCCCATGGAACCATAATATCTCAGTTCTGGAGGGGGGCATGGACCTTACTCAGTCTAAGCACAGCGAGGTTGGACTCAGGATCTTGGTGTGCTAGGATATCCTGGAAATTAGTTGGGCACACAAGGCAATTGATCAGGACCCAGGGAAAATAGGGGAGCAGCAAAGAGCTGAGCCTCCCACTCTGGTACCTTCACAAACTTCTGATACAGCAAATTGGACTTGGGGTGACTGCGCTGGGCGGTCTCCGTGGAAAGGCGCCTTATCTGCACTCCATCCTGTTGGAAGGTATCGGTGAGGAAGCGACATGACATGCTACAGCTCCCTGCCCCATCCCAGACGTACCTGACAAGCTCATACCTTCCCTGTGTCCACTACCAAGCTGGCTGCAGTCTTGTTGAAGAGATCACTCCACCAGTGGTCTGTAAACTCCTTGGCAGGGTCGTGTCCCACCTCCACGAAAATGAAAGTCACAGTCTGAGCCACGCCCACTGGCCCTCATGGGTGCCCTGTCACACTCATGCTGATCACCTCCCAGGCTTACCCCATGGGTATCTTGCTTCAGTGTCACCTTGAGGGCCTGGGTGATGCCATTCTCTTTCCGGCCCAGGCCCTTGCCTGTAGAGGACAATGAAGGACTTATTTTGTAGCCTACCCTGAGCCCTCACCAAGTCTTCCTGGGCAACTGCCATTCTTTCACTGATCACTGGGTATACTATGTACCCTTCAGAAATCTATGTCAACATTCTTTCTAGTACTGCTCCACAAGTGCCTCTCTCTGATGTGGAATGATCTTTCTTGTCACATTTCCTCCTTACTGCCTCCTCAAGGCTGTTCAACTACTTGTCCCTCATTATTCCCCATTATCCAAGAATGAGAATTTCATCCATTCACCCCTTTTCTAGCTAGGTCAGAAAGTTTATGATTCTAACGTTTTCTCTTTAAACTAGTTTCTTCTTAGTTGAATTGACAAGGCGCAGAGAAAAACGAGGGAGTTGGGAGGATATGGAAGGAAGGGCCCTAGAACACCTTGAGTCCATCCATGTTTTAGCAGCTGCTCTTCAGCAAATTTCATCCCACGACTCTTGACCTCTGGGGTGGCACTCATGGTGGGCAGAGAGGCTCTGTCCTCAGGCTCTCACCAGTGAAGAAGATGTGGCACCATCCTTTGAATAGGAGAGGAAAGGACTGGAGATGCAGTTTAGACAGCAGAGCGCAAGTCCCAGGTTTCAACCCTCAGCATCCTATAGCACACACGGATAATCCTAGCACTTGGAATGTGGAGGCAAGAGGATCAGAAGTTCATACCATCCACAACTGTATACAAAGGCTGAGCCAGCCTGGGCTATATGAGACCCTAAGTGAGTGAAAAACAAAAGGGTGGTAGTGTGGGCCTATGGATATTTTAGTAGGTAGAATGTCTAGACTCATGAGGCCCTGGGTTCAATCCCTAATACCATCCACTGGCTGTGGCTCCTAAACTATAGGAAGCTACCGACAGAGAGATGGATCAGTGAGCAAAGGTGCTTCCTGCCAAAGCCATGACTGAGTTTGAACCTACAGAGCTACTCAGTGGAAGGAGAGAACTGGCTTCTATGGGGTATCTTCGTATCTCCATTCCCAAGCACGTTCACACACACACAAATATAAGCTATCGTGAGTAGCTTGTTAGAGGTCACACAACCAGCATATGGAGAATTTAAACCAGGAAGCCTGTCTGCAGAGTCTGTAAGATCTCCCCAAACATTACCCGTAAAAACAAAGCTATGAGGTGTTTGGTAACTTGGGCTAGAGACTGGTACTTAAGAGAGCCTACCACCTGCACCTGTGCCCTGGCATTGTGCCGTCTTAGTGTGGAAACCATTCCTTCCACATTACCAGAATAGTCCAGGTTTCAGAAGCTTCCCTTTAAACTGTCCAGCTCAGGAAACAAAGATGGTGACACACATTATCACCCCATTTATTGTCAAATCACCTCATTATACTTCATAGATAGTCCTGTCTGAAAGGTATCAACCTCTCATCCTGCAAGTGAGGAAAAAGGACCTGGGTTTCTTGACTGAAGATCTATTCAGACAATTTGAAGACCTACTCAGCCCAAATTGCATGACTGTAAGTAACTGCATTTCTTTATAGTAACTCACACATACTTCTTTTGGACCCAACTTATTGCATATTAAATTTGTCTTCAAAATGGTTAAGATGACACATCACACTGAGAACAGACTACCAGTGTCAATTTGTGCTAAGATCATTTGTTATGGGCATAGGAGACAGCTGCTTTTTGTTTTTGTTTTGAGACTATGTATCCCCCATTAGCCTGAAACTCTGAGTTTGAGGCTGGCCTCAAACTCACACAGATATGCTTACTTGCCTACAAAGTGCTGGGACAAATGTTGTGTGCCACAGCCCTGCTACAGAACACTGTCAAAGCTGACGATGGGGATGACTAGAGTAAATCTGGAGCTTCTCAAAGAGACAGCTTAAATAGCAAAACTTTCATTAGATTTAAAGTCTATTAAATACCCTTTAGAGTGTCCAAAAAACTTTAGCAAATGCTCTTAAACATTTAAGAACGATGTGCAGAATTTCTGTCCAATAGAAGGTGACAGGTGACATCCAGTTAGGGCTGTCCGAGTCTCGAAAGGAATAAACTGGACAAAGGTAGTTAATAAGTTAAGAAGTGGGGGACACCTGACTGTTTCTAGCTGTAATAGCAAATCACAAACTTTACAAAGCAGGAAACAGAAATCCAGAGTCTGATGGGTGCTCTCTACTCCTGGTGAGTACAATTGTCAGCATCAGATAGTAGGAGACATGGCTCAAGAGGGGCTTGGAGAACCTGCGCTGTACCACAGTAATTTTATAATAGACACTTCAAAGAGCAGAGCGAGACGGATCCACACAAGAACGCTCCAGCGGGTGCTAAGATGCCAGGCTTTCACAGGCAATGCTGTAACAGTTGTAAACACCATTTCAAAAGGGGCTCCTCTTGAGGACTGCACTCTTGGGAGAAACACAGCAAATGACACAGGAACTTCTAGACTTCAGGGAAAGGTCTTGAACCATTAGTCACTGGTGTGGAAACCTGGTAGGACCAGAGTCTGCAGGGAACTTGAACACACGTGTCAAGCAGTGTGCTGATGAGGCAGGAATCACACAGGGCAGGCCCAGCACTTGCAACTGGGAACCTGAAGGAGGCATAACTTGCACCTGAGACCCCACCTATGAAACACTGCTCAGACCATGACTGTAACACTGGCTCCCAAAGGCTGGCTTCCTGGAAGGAACTCAGAGAGACTCAAACTCAAGACTGAATCAGCAAACCAACCAAGGGCCAGACTGCTTTCATACTCTCTACAACACCCCCCCCCCCCACACACACACACTCCTCTCTGATACCTGGTATTAGTTAGCTCTGACCTGTTCTCCTCTCTCCCAAAGAACACACACTGGCCAGGCCTACGGGGCCTCCTCCTGGAAGCTGGGACTGTTCTTGGTTATATGATTGATTCTTAACCTACCTCTTTTCAGTCTGCCTTTAGCCTTTACCCCAATGGTAGGGCCTCACCCCAGTCCTACCATTCCTTCCTTCTTTGATATATTTCCTTCCTTACTTTTTCTCTGTCAACCCAGCACTAAATCACATGTTTTACCCTGAGTTTTCCCCCCATCCACAATGTTCCATTACTTCCTAAAATGATTGGTGCTTTATTGGCTATTACTGTACTTCATAGTAGGCTTACTCTTTGATATTGTTTGTTCGGATAATATTCTAAATCCAGGGGAGCAGTAAGAATAAGGCTGGATGTCCTGATCTCGCAGAGGAAAATAATGTCTCAACACTAGAACAGCCCAGGCCCACTTGAACATTGTAAACACTCCTGAAAGAATAAAGATGTTTTTAAAAACAGCTCTTTTTTGAACTTTAGTTGTATGAGTGTTTTGCCTGCACGTCTGTGTACCATGTACATACAGTACCCTCAGAAACTAGAAGAGGGTGTTAGATGCTCTGGAACCAGTATTATAAATGGTTCAAAGACACCATGTCGGTGCTGGGTACTAACTCAGGTCCTTTGTAAGAGCAGTTAGTATTCTTAACCCCTGGCCATCTCTCCAGCCCACTAAATAAATTCCACCAATGACTCAATCCCTGCAGCATAAATCTCAAGAACACAAAACAGCAAGGCAATATAACTCCTTCAAAATGTACCAGGAGATAAACAGTGGCCAGGAGTTTAAGACAGGACTTTAAAAGCAACAGTACCATGTAAAAAGCAGGCGTAGGGGTGTGCACTTGTGATCCCAATGCTGGGAGATAGAGACAGGAAGATCTCCAGGGCCTTGTGGAGGAGGCTCTGTCTCAAGAAACAGGTGGTTAATTCTGAGAAATCACACCTAAGGTTGACCTCTGGCCTCCATATGCATGCACACCCATACACACATTATGTGCATGCCCACACATGTGTGCGCATGCACTCACACACACATTTGGAAAAAATAAACAAACAAAAGGCCCCCAGAGATTGGAGAGCTGGCTCAGTGGTTAAGAGAACTGGGTGCCCTTTCAGAGACCCTGGGTTTGATTCCCAGCACTCACATGGCAGCTCATAACCTTCAGTTCCAGGGGTTGACACCTCTTCTGGGCTCCTCAGGGAACCAGGCACACATGTGGCACACAGACATACAAGCAGGCAAAACATCCACACACATAAGTTCTTTTCAGAGTTATTATTTATTCATTGAATTAAGTCACTAAATCTGAGCAGTTCTTTACATAGAAATGAAGCTAATGTACAAGAAAATGACCGACTAAAGGCTTTTACAGACGTTATTGAGATGATGTGTAAAACGACAGTTTCGGGGCCTGGAGAGATGGCTCAATGGTTAAGGTACTTGCTGCTCTTGAAGAGAACAGGGATTTGGTTTTCTACAAGCACAAGGCAGCTTATGAATCTGCACACCCTCTTATTGGCATTAGGCATCTATCAGATGTTCATACATGCAAGTAGGCAAAACGCTTGTACACTTAGTCAGTAAGGGGGACATAGTGAGACCCTATCTCAAATAAATAAATAGATAGGTAAACAAGTAAACTCAGTTCTCAACGTGACACAGGTCCCTTTGGGTTGAGACCTTCCCAGAGGCCCATGAGGTCAAACTCTACTCAGAAACCCTCCCATGTCATTTGCCCTTTCCTGCTCTCTCTCTTTTGATTGCATAGACCCAGTAGTTCCCAGGTACTACATGAGTGATAACATTGCTCTGTTGAGAGAATATGCCCTGTGTACTCTAGTGTCTAGGAACATTCTCCAACTTTTTCTGCATAGCTAAAGCCAGCAAAGCTCACAAAACCTTTTAAGGGGGGTGGGGGAGGGGAGCTAGCAGGTATGTCAGGTATAAAGAGGAGCACATTCAGGACAAATTACATTTCTATCCATCTTTCCACTAGGAAGGATGATTAGATGAAGCCCAAGTGATAGATGAATGTTGAGCACAGCAACAGAAAAACCGAGAAGCAGCCCTACCTCTTGGTTTTTGTTTGTTTGTTTTTGTTTTTGAGACAGGGTCTAATTGCTGGCTGGCCAGGGTTAGAACCTGCCTGCTTCTCTCTCCCAGGTGCTCCCTTTCTTCTTGATATGGAAACACAAGAAAAATTTAAATACTCAGGTCATCTTATAACTGTCACCTCTCAGAAATTATCTCTGATTATTTTAACAATAATCATCATACTCCACACTTGTAGTGCATTGACTCAATACCAGCCTGCTACTAACTGCTTCACTCGAACATTTCTTTATGCCTGTCGACAATCTCATTAGGAGGTACTACTTATCCATAATTTATGAAGAAATCGGACACTGTTAACTTCATTTACTCGCTGAACCATCCTGGCTAGTAGATCCAAGGCTGGTAGTGAGGCATTTCAAAAGCTACTACTTTGGGGGTTCTTACAGCTCGTGCTCTCGCTCTCTCCCACATCCTATTCCTCGACACAGCAATTCAAACCACTTGTGCCCGAAGTTGGAGACAAGTTTCCAGCCCTTGACAATTACAGCAAGAATGCGTTCAGCGTTTCTGGGTTGAACTGAGTGACACAAGTAGGAGTCGCTTTCAACCCATTTGCAATGGGCAGGCGTACGCAGACGCTGCAAGCACACTCTGAGGCGCTGTCCCCTCTCCAGCCAGTTTTCAGGGATGGCCAGAGCCACCCGTTTGCAGCAGCTTAGAGGGCTGGCCGCCGATTTTTTTCCCCGTTATAAATCCGAGCCCCACAGGTACAGAGTCAGCAGGTGGAGCTACTGGCGATCTTCGCCTTTGCTCCAGCCCCTGGGGAAGCAAACCCCTTACCTTCAGTGCGCGTTCCGAGGCAGCACGTGCCATACCGACTTGGGTGTCGCCATATTCCCGGAAGTGCACTTCGGTCCTTCTAGGATACAAAAAACCATAGAGACGCCCTGTCAGAGGCCACGCTCCCGGCTGGTTGCCACGGAAACTGGCTTCCTGGCTAAAGGCAAGCTTCCCCCTCTCAATCACTGGAAGCACCGGCTTTAACCTTGGTTCCGGGTCCTACCCGGAGCCAATCAGAAGCATCTGTTAGGTCTCAGAGGCTCAGGGGAGACCCCTCTGCATCATCTTGAGATTTGTCAGGTCGATGGTTCTGGGAGCTTTCCATACACTCACAAACCTCGCTCAATCGAGAGTCCCGAGAACTCTCCCAGCTCTTGCAAGACTTGTTCAGGAGAAAGTCAGGAGCGCTTTCCTTAGTCTGGGAGCCCCTGACTCCTGAAAATTATACTAGTCTGGGGAAGCCCCTCCTACTTTCCAGGTACTTTTGGTCTATAGGAAGCCCAAGAATGGCTCCAGATGGCTGTTTTTACCTAGTTCTGCACCGACCATAGGTTCCAAATAACACACCCTCAATTTCTGTGGGCTAACCTTAAAAACCTCCATTTATGAGACCTAAGATCAGCCACACTTGTTCAACCCCCCAGTCCAAATCTGGCCTCAATAGGACAATAGCCACCATGGGCCCAATTTGAAATTTCGGTTTTAATATCTACACTGATCTAGATAAATTCATAAGACAGAGTGGAGTAGGCCTAAGACCCCCTCCCACCACATAAATTCCAGAACGTCTTAACCTTTCTGATGATCCCTGCTACTCAGCTTACAACCTCTCCCAGAACACAATTAACTTCCATCCCCTTCCCGCAAAGGCTCCCCAGAGTTATTGGGAAATGGGAAATGAGCCATAAAGTCAAGATTATGTCCCAACTGGGACAGCTTATCACAAAGGGCAAACGGTGACTGAGGGAACCAAGGATCCAAAGCTTCCCAAAATGGAAACAGGACAGTCCCCTCCCACATTCCTTTGCCCCCCTCCCCAACCCAGGCATTTCAGTTGCCTTGTCAGCCAACAGAGTCCAGGGTCCCCGCTTCAGAACGGCCACGGAGTGCAAAGCAAGTATCTTTATGCAAGGCAATTTTTTTCTCTTCAGGAAAAGTCCCTGAATCTATGGCTTGGAATCATTCTTGGAACACCTTTTTGTCTTATGTTGGTCTGCCTTTGTTTCTGACCACCAGTCCTGGATACCCTTTTTGTTTGTTTGTTTGTTTGTTTGTTTGTTTGTTTGAAGACAGGGTTTCTCTATATTGTTTTGCAGCCTGTCTTGGAACTTGCTCTGTAGACCAGGCTGGCCTGGAACTCGCTGAGATCCGCCTGCCTCTGCTTCCTGAGTGCTGGGACTAAAGGTGTGTGTCACCAACTCCGGGCTAACCCTGGATACTCTTGCATATATTTTTATAGTTTTGTGTTTGATGGTGTGTAGCTTATTTTATTGACAACTTGATGTTCTCATAAGAGAAAACATTCTTTCAAGTTGTCTGCCTCCATCTGCAGACACACATAAACTGGTTATGGGCGAGAAAGGCCAGATGTCTAAAAAAAGAAAAAAAAAAGGGGGGGGGGAACCATTCAATAACTCCAGCTGTGCCCAATTAAAGTAATCATTGCTGGCCTTCAAGGTAGACAAGGTCATCAGCCCTTCGCCTGAGTGTCCAATCTCTCCTCCTAGCTAGTTGTATGTGATTAGGCCTTATGAGATCTCAAGGCTTTCTGGAAAAACTTAAGTGTATCTGCTAAGACTAAGAATGGAGAGAGAGTTCAACTCTGCAGCAATGGTGACGCTGTTATATGTACTGAATGGGGGCCCCAGATATTGCCTAACACTTTCCCTTAGGGACATCTTTACAACAAATGGGGGAAAATCAATGTACATACAACATATATAATTACAAATGCCTAACTTTATAATTTTTCTCCTTCTTGATTATTTTTGTGTTTAAAAAAATGGTCCCCCAGTCAAGCCCATGGATGTCTTTGAAGCTTTTTGCTGAAATGTAAACTTATTTCCTCTCAGGACCTGTACAGCCACAGAGTGATGCTTTAAAAACCTGAAAAATTCCAACTAGGGAAAAAGTTAACCTAAAACTTGGTTTGAGAAAGGGCCTGAAGACACAAGGACCAGACAAAAATTTCACCATTAGCCGCCTCCTACATGTGGGTGTTTGTTCTCTTCCACTCTGGCTCCTCCCCTGGATCACCCCTGCCTCCTTACCCTCACACCTATGTCTGTATCCTGGCTTTTAAATGTCTTACTTACTGAACTCCCCCTAGACCCAAACAAAAGGTCCCACACAAGCTCTCCCAGGGGCTCTTACTTACAACAGCTCCATCTGTTCCGTTTGGTTCCAACACATCTGCACGAAGACCTTTCAGAAGCTGTGGAGAAACTGGCTGCAGTGGACCGTCATCCCTTTCACCCCAGGCCTGATACTGCTCTGTACATTAGTCGTCTGTTTTCTCCTGTCATCTTCCTTCCGTGCTCTGTAGCTCCCTGACGCTTCTGCTAGCTCACTTTGGTGTTGCAGTCCCGGCAGTGGGACTAGTTACTGTCATTCTGTGTCTTAGTCACTATGCTATAGGTCTACATAAAAGTGATCACTAATAACCACATGACAGAGCCAATAATAGACTGTCTTGAAATCTCCTCTGCCAATGCCATTAGCCCAAAAACTCTTCAATTTAGCCTTAGGCAAATTTTTTGAACAAGGACGAACTCAGCCACATTCTTCACCAAACACAAGCATAGCCTCTAGGCCACTTACTAATATTCTTCTCCTCTGAAACCTCTTGAGCTGAACTGTCATAGTCTACACTGTTTTTCAGCCCCACTGTCTCCCCTGCTCCTACTAGTGTGACCCATTAAACTCCTGCTTGAAGTGTTCAACTGCTTTCCTAATCCAAAGTCTGGAAGTCCACATTCCACCAACAAACAGGATGGTCAGGCGTTTCACAGCAATACCCCAGTCCCTGCTACCAGCTTCTGTCTCAGGGTTTCTATTGCTGTGAAGAGAACCATGACCGTGGTGATGTTTGTAAGGAAATATTTAATTGGGGCCTGCTTACAGTTTCAGAGGTTTAGTCCATTATCATCATGGCAGAGAGCACAGTGGTACACAGGCAGACATGGTGCTGAAGAAATGGCTAAGAGTTCTACATCCAGATCTGTAGGAAGAGAGCACCACTGGGCCTGCCTTGGGCTTTTGAAACCTCAAAACCCACCCCCGTGACACACTCTGTTAATTCCACCAAATGAGAGCAGAGGCTACTGACCCTAATTTTCAGTTAAGCAAGCTTTATTTTCTGACAGACAGGCTATCTCCCTAAAGACAGGGCTTGGGAGAATAGCCCCAAACACAGGAGAAATAGGGTTTTTACAGCCCCAAAACTTCAAGGCTAGAGGGTTTCCAAGAGTTTCTTGTTATATAATTACTTGGCAGAACATCTCAAAATTATTTGGCAGAGCATCTAATCTTATCAGGGTAGAGGTCAGGTTATAGGATGTGATGTCAAATTCCAGAAAATGGGTTAAGATATGCTCAAATTTAAGTTTTTTTTTTTTCAGAAACCAATAATGCACTTCTTTTGAGCTTGTAATAAGATGGCTTCTAATCCTAAAATGGAGTCATGCTGTTCCATCACACCTCTCAATCCATCTCAACTAGTGTCACTTTCTGATGACTAAGCATTCAAATATACCAGCCCATGGGGGACATTCTTACTCAAACCACCACACCATGAATCAACTCTATACCCGTTTCCACAGACTCACTCTGTCTGTCTGTCTGTCTGTCTTCCTCATCCCTCACCCTTCCTGGGTGACCTCTCAGTTTCACTCTGTAAGCAAATCATCTGCCTTTAGCCCCATATTGATTACTTCTCAAAAGTGTCCTCAGGAATGCTGAGGACAAGACATGATCCATCACAGCTGACTGAGCTAAAACTCTGCTCCTGCGAAATGCCCAGAGGACCCCCCCCCACTTCGACAGACCCTCAACTATAACCCCTCCCCCAAATCACCATCCTCACCATGGAGAGTAGACCTGTGGGAGTCTCCCATCCCACTATCAACAGAAAGAAGCTCCCCACCCAAAACTCCAGCCCTATTCCTGGAACCCCTGTCCTCTCTGACCCATCCTTTATCTCTGAAGAGCTGAGACATAATAAACCCTGGACAAACTCTGGCAGACTGACCTGGGCCTTATGTTAAAATGCCAGTCCCTCCTCTTTTACTGCCACTGCCTAACTCGGTCACCCACTGTCACAGACATCCTGGTAACTGGGCCAGGCAATTTCTAAAGATAAAATGGCTTTGCATGAACAAACAACTCCAGGAACTCCAGGTTTACACCTTAGCCCCAGCAGCTACTTTAATTTCCCATTCTCCAACCCCCCTATATAAAGTCCAAATATCCTCTTCCCTCTTCAGCAGGTAGCCCTTTCCCACTGTATTAGTCAATGTTGACTAGAGAAACAAAACTGCAGAATAAATTATATATATATATGATTCATTATTATATTAATTATCATATATATGATTTATTAGAGTGGCTTATAGGCTGTGGCCCAGCTAGTCCAACAATGGCTATCTTTAATGTAAAGTCCAAGAATCCTATAGTTGTTCAGTCCACGAGGCTGGATGTCTCCGCTGGTCTTCAGTATACATAGGCTCTAATACCAAAATCAGGAACAAGCAGGCAAACAGCCAAAGCTTCCTTCTTCCATGTTCTTTATATATGCTGCCACCGGAAGGTGTGGCCCAGATTGATCAAAAGATCTGGATCAAAAGATCCAGATTTAGGGTGGGTCTTTGTAGGAGAGGGCAAGCAGGACCTGGTGTAGGATGCTCCTGAGTATTCCCATAAGTCAGAACACCAGATTGAAGTAGCTGCTCAGCTGCACTCTCCACGCCTCCTTTTATGTGTTTCTTCTCCACAGAGACCCTGGTGATGTGCTGGCCAGCCACAGTCCACAGGCTTCCATGGATAAGCGGTCGTTCGATTGTGATAAAGCAGGCACTGTCCCCTGAAACCTTCTCCACAGTGGTTCATCTCT